TTTGTAAATATTATGGTAAATTTAAGTAAATATTTTTAATAATAAAGGTTAATTTTAAAGTTAAAGATATTTGATATGATAAGATAAGACTATGTTTTTATATTTTAAGTAAAAGAAATTGTATTTTTGAAGTATTAAGAGTTTTAGAATTTCATGTAAAAAAGAAAATAATGAAATTTTATGAAAAATCATAAACTCATATGAATTTATAAAGTGAAGAAAGGTAAGGAGTTTTGACTTTAAGGAGAGGATACTATTCAGATATATGAATCCTCACTTGAAAAAGAAAAAGAAAAGAGAGGATAGAAAAGAGAGGATTGAAAAGATCCTAAAAGAAAAAAAATAAAAGAAAGGAAAAAAAGAAGGAAAAATAAAAGAAAAATGAGTGAACAGAAGCTTGAGGAGATGTCTAATAAAAAATTGACTTCACTTGAATTAACTTAAGAAAAAGGCTTTATTACATTTTCTTAACTTGTATTGAAATATTAGTAGCAGCATTACTAGTAAAGTTCTTTTTCATATGAATGTTCTAAGTATCCTTGATATGACAAATTGTAATTCTTCTTAAAATGAATAGAGATTCAGAAATCTTAAATTTGATTACTAAGTACTCTTGGACATAAGGTTTGAATCTAAGTTATTAAAGGTTTTTCATGAATATTACTATTTTATTTATTAAACTAGAATATAGAAGTTTATAAGTTAATCTCTATATTATCATATTTTTATGTAGTAAAAGTGTTACTTGAGGACAAGTAACATTTAAGTTTGGGGCATTTTGATATGCCTAAAAATTACCTACTTTTTCATATATATTTTATGCTCAATTTTAATGATTTTTAATGATATTACACTTTAAAGGAATGTATTTTGCATGTTTTTGGTTTCAGGTACATGAAATGTATTTTTGGAGAAAATGAAATAAAAATGATGCAATTTAGAGAAAAACGAGCAAGAAATAAAATTCTGATTTGACACATTTCGATGTCTTTATATGCTTAATCTACTTTACATTTCTCACATGTTTTTGAATGAAATTATACTTTAAAGAAATGTTATTTTCATGCTTATTTTGTAGGTACATCTGTTAGGAGCAAAATGCAACTGAAACGGGCGAAACAGAGCCAAACGGAGCAAAACGGTGAAGCTGCAGTAGAATGATGCATGATGCGCCAAAATCCAGAGAACTGACTCATGATGCGCCAGAGACGAATTTTGGCGGATTAAGACGGTTTGAGATGAGTTTTAGGCGAATTTTATAAAGGAACACTTATTCTAAACATCCCTTGAAGTGATTCAATGCATCTAAACACTTTTGAAGATTCTTTTACAAAGAGATATGTCTTTTGGATCAATGGATATGTCGTTTGAATTCAAAAGAGTTGACTTTTGGATAGAATTTTGGAGGAAATTTTGAATTCTTTTTGGAGAAAGGCAACCTTTTATAAAAAGATGACAGTCAAGGGCTTGAAGAGGAGTTTTTGGGGGGCGTGTGTGTGTGTGGCTTGAGAGTGAGAGGAATGGCGTTCTTCAAGGATTGTAAGAGGAGAGGGAAAGTGAGAGATTTCTGCTTCATTACAGTTCTGATAGAGAATTGAGAATGCTTGTAAAGAGAGAAAAACTTGAGAACTAGGAATTTGCTTGGGAAGGATTGTGAGATAAATTATATTTTTTATTTTTTTTGTTTTGTAAACTTGTATTTATATACGAAATTTGTGTTTTGTCGTATTCTTGTCATGAATTCTGAGTAGTCTTCTTTATCCTTCT